CCCACATGATTCAGTTATTTCCAACCAGGTCCCTCCCACAACACATGGGAGTTACGGGAGTTCAATTCAAGATGAGATTTGAATGGGGACACAGCCAAACCATATCATTCCACCCATGGCCCTCCAAATCTCATGTCCTCACATTTCAAAACCAACCATGCCTTCCCAACAGTCCCCCAAAGTCTTAACTCATGTCAGCATTAACCCAAAAGTGCACAGTCCAAAGTCTCATCCGAGACACAGCAAGTCCCTTCTGCCTATGAGCCTGTAAAACCAAAAGCTAGTTACTTTCTAGATACAATGGGGGTACAGGTATTGGGTAAATACAGCTGTTCCAAACAGGAGAAACTGGCCAAAACGAAGGGGCTAGAGGCCCCATGCAAGTCTGAAATCCAGTGGGGCAGTCAAATCTTTTTTTTTTTTTTTTTTTTTGAGATGGAGTCTCGCTCTGTCGCCCAGGCTGGAGTGCAGTGGCCGGATCTCAGCTCACTGCAAGCTCCGCCTCCCGGGTTTAGCCATTCTCCTGCCTCAGCCTCCCGAGTAGCTGGGACTACAGGCGCCCGCCACCTCGCCCGGCTGGGTTTTTTTTGTATTTCTTAATAGAGACAGGGTTTCACCGTGTTAGCCAGGATGGTCTCGATCTCCTGACCTCGTGATCCGCCCGTCTCGGCCTCCCAAAGTGCTGGGATTACAGGCTTGAGCCACCGCGCCCGGCCTGGCAGTCAAATCTTAAAGCTCCAAAATTATCTCCTTTGACACCAAGTCTCACATCCAGGTCACACTGATGTAAGAGTTGGGTTCCATGATTGTGGGCGGCTTTGTCCCTGTGGCTTTGTGAAGTATAACCTCCATCCAAGCTGCTTTCACAGGCTGGTGTTGAGTGTCTGCAGCCTTTCCATACTCATGGTGCGAGCTGTCGGTGGATCTATCATTCTGGGGTCTGGAGGATGGCAGCCCTCCTCACAGCTCCACTCGGCAGTGCCCCAGTAGGGACTCTGTGTGGGGGCTCTGACCCCACCTTTCCCCTTTGCACGGGCCTAGCAGAGGTTCTCCAAGGGAGCCCCACCCCTGCAGAAAACATCTGCCTGGGCATCCAGGCGTTTCCATACATCCTCTGAAATCTAGGCAGAGGTTCCCAAACCTCAATTCTTGACTTCTGTGTATCCGCAGGCTCAACACCATGTGGAAGCTGCCAAGGATTGGGGCTTGCACCCTCTGAAGCCACAGCCCGAGCTATACATTGGCCCCTTTCAGCCATGGCTGGAGCGGCTGGGACACAGGGCACCAAGTCCCTAGGCTGCACACAGCTCAGGGATCCTGGGCCAGACCCATGAAACCACTTTTTCCTCTCAGACCTCTGGGTCTGTGATGGGAGGGGCTGCCATGAGGACCTCTGACATGTCCTGGAGACATTTTCCCATTGTCTTGGGGATTAACATTTGGCTCCTCATTACATATGCAAATTTCTGTAGCCAGCTTGAATTTCTCCTCAGAAAATGGGATTTCTCTTTTCTATTGCATTGTCAGGTGGCAAATTTTTCAAACTTTTATGCCGTTTCCCTTTTAAAACTGAATGCCTTTAACAGCACCGAGTCACCTCTTAAACATTTTGCTGCTTAGAAATTTCTTACACTAGATAACCTAAAACATCTCTCTCAAGTTCAAAGTTCCACAAATCTCTAGGGCAGGGGCAAAATGCCATCAGTCTCTTTCCTAAAACATAACAAAAGTCACCTTTGCTACAGTTCCTAACAAGTCCCTCATCTCTATCTGAGACCACCTCAGCCTGGACCTTATTGTCCATATCGCTATCAGCATTTTGGGCAAAGCCATTCAACAAGTCTCTAAGAACTTCCAAACTTTCCCACATTTCCCTGTCCTCTGAGCCCTCCAAACTGTTCCAGCTTCTGCCTGTTACCCAGTTCCAAAGTCGCTTCCACATTTTTGGGTATCTTCTCAGCAGTACCACACTCTACTGGTACCGATTTACTGTATTAGTCTGTTTTTGTGCTGCTGATAAAGACATACCCGAGACTGGGCAATTTACAAAAGAAAGAGGTTTAACTGGACTACAGTTCCATGTGGCTGGGGAAGCCTCACAATCATGGTGGAAGGCAAGGAGGGGCAAATCCCATCTTACATGGATGGCAGCAGGCAAAGAGAGAATGAGGAAGACACAAAAGCAGAAACCCCTGATAAAACCATCAGATCTCATGAGACTTATTCACTACCACCAGAACAGTATGGGGGAAACTGCCCCCATGATTTAATTATCTCCCACTGGGTCCCTCCCACATACGTGGGAATTACGGGAGCACAATTCTAGATGAGATTTGGGTGGGGACACAGCCAAACCATATCAACCAATGAGTGAAAAAAGAAAAAGTGGTATATAGACACCATGAAATACTACTACTCAGCCATAAAAAAGAACAAAAGAATGTCTTTTACAGCAGCTTGGGTGGAGCTGGAGGTCATTATTTTAAGTGAAGTAACTCAGAAATGAAAAACCTAATACCCTATGTTCTTACTTATACGTGAGAGCTAAGCAGGAGTACACAAAGGCATACAGAGTGGTATGATTGACTTTGGAGACTCATAAGGGGGAGGGTGGGAGGTGGGTGAGGAATAAAAAAACGACATATTAGGTACAATGTATAGACTCAGGTGGCAGGTGCACTAAAACCTTAGACTTCACTACTATACAATTCATTCATGTAACCAAAAGCCACTTGTACCCCAAAAGCTATTGAGATAAAAAAAATTAAATAACATAAAAGATTAAAAAGGGTGCACCTGTATAGGGTCCTTGCCATGAATGGAGCTTGCAGGACTGGAAGTTGCTCCGAGCAAGTCACTGAGCAAGAGATGAGTGAATGTGAAGGTCAAGGGCATGACCATAACTGCTATAGATGTTATAAACACTGGACACTTAGGCTACACCAAATTTATTTTCAAATATTTTTATTTCCTCAGTAATAAATTAACATTAGTTTACTGTAACTTTTTTACTTTATAAACTGTTTTTTTTTTTTTTTTTTTGGAGACAGAGTCTCACTCTGTCAGCCAGGCTGGAGTGCAGTGATGCAATTTTGGCTCACTGCAACCTCTGCCTCCCAGGTTCAAGTGATTCTACTGACTCATCCTCCCGGGTAGATGGGATTACAGGTGCACACCACCACACCTGGATAATTATTATATTTTTAGTAGAGAGGGGTTTCATCATGTTGCCCAGGCTGGTCTCAAACTCCTGACCTCAGGTGATCCGCCTACCTCTGCCTCCCAAAGCTAATATCACTTAGCTTAAAACACAAATGCATTGTACAGCTGTACAAAAATATTTTATTTCTTTATATTCTTATTCGACATGCTTTTTTCTATTTTGAACTTTTTTTACTTTTTAAACGTTTTTGTTAAAAACTAAGACATAAACACACACATTAGCCTAGGCCTGCATGGAGTCACGATCATCAACATCACTGTCTTCCCCTCCACATCTTGTCCCACTGGAAGGTCTTCAGGGGCAGTGACAGGCATGGAGCTGTCATCTCCCTGTGATAACAATGTTTTGGCCAGGTGCAGTGGCTCACACCTGTAATTCCAGCAATTTGGGAGGCTGAGGCAGGTGGATCACTCGAGGTCAGGAGTTCAAGACCAACCTAGCCAACAATGGTGAAAACCCGTCTCTACTAAAAATACAAAAATTAGCTGGGTGTGATGGTGTATGCCTATAGTCCCAGCTACTTGGGAGGCTGAGGCATGAGAATGGCTTGAACCCGGGAGGCAGAGGTTGCAGTGAGCTGAGATTATGCCACTGCACTCCAACCTGGGTGACAGAGCAAGACTCCATCTCTGCACTCCAACCTGGGTGACAGAGCAAGACTCCATCTCAAAAAAATCAAACAAACAAAAAATGAGCTAGGCATGGTGGCATTTCTGCCTGCAAACCCAGCAGCCCTGGAGGCTTAGGCAAGACAATTCCTTGAGCTCAGGGGTAGGGTGCTGGGGCGGGAAGGTTGCTGTGAGCTGAGATCATTTAACACTGCACTCCAGCCTGGGTGACAGAGTGAGACTCTGTCTAAAATTTAAAAAAAAAAAAGCAATGTCTTCTTCAGGACACCTCCTGCAGGACCTCCCTGAGACTGCTTTATAGTTAATTTTTTTGTAAGTAGAAGGAATGCACTCTAAAATCATGATAAAAAGTAATCAAGCAAATACTAAACAAAAAGAATTTTTCAGCTCCATCATAATCTTATGCCACCAGCAATGTGATAAGGTCAGTCATTGGTTAAGATGTCCTCATGTGCAACACGATTGCTCATACAGATTCTCATCACGAATTTGAAATAATAATAGTCAACAAACCTGCCTATAAGTTTTACTATTGCATTCAAAAATAAACAACAAATATAGTTATATCAAGAATTCCTATCCTAAAAGATTTGTAAATATTTTGCTGATAAAACTAAGGTGCTTTCTAACTTTTATAAAATGCATTTTCAAAGTCTACCAAAGCACCTAAAATATACATGACGTGAAATGAGAAGTAATTTACTTAACGATAGTATATCTAAGGAAATGCCCTCCCACCTGTGACCTGAGGAGGTAGGAAAAGGAGAGGCACCGCTGGCCCTGCGTTACGGGGGTGCTCGGCGCCTCGTGGGTGGCACCCAAAGGAGATGGGAACACACTTGGGACAGAGAGCAGTAATCACACCATATGGTAACTGTGGTTTAGGAGATTCCAATGTCTCCCTCAACATCGCTGACCCACAGGAAGGGCCTGGTATTACTCTCCTAAGCCACATATAGCAGAGAGACCAGCACCTAGTGCTTCACCCTTCCAAAGTAAGAGCTACCTTTTCTGTGCATAAATCAGTCTTAGAATAATCAGTGTACACAGATTAACCACAACCTCATCACATTTGGAAAAGAAATCAGATTGAGCTTACATCTCTCGAGCTCCCCATCCCCGCAGTGCAGGGCGCAGGACAGCCTTACCTCAGGGTTCTCAGGTCCCACAGTCTCATCCCATCGCCAATGGCCGTGGTCAGGAAGAGGTTATAAGCCTGAGGCTGTTGGGTTGTAAATGATGAACCCTATAATTGTAAGGGGGAAATCAAGATGTACTTTCAAAGGTTGAGTTAGTAAGCATTATGCTAATGATATCTCATAATAGCTGATTCTCAAGTAAGATATTAACACAAAGTTTTTTTCTTATTTGTAACAATTTCAGAATTGGACTCCAAAAACTTCTAAATAAAGTAGTTAATGAGGGTATATTTTGACCTAGAGAATTATTGATGTGGGTTCTCTTTATGTGTAATGCCACTGAGAGTTACAGAAGTACAAAATGGTCAAAGATCAAAAGACCAAGATAGTAACACACCAAAATTCATGTTTAGAGTATAGACCATAAGCCATATTCAATAAATCATCTGAAAGACGCCCCTCAACAAAGCACTTAAAGTTAAGGTGAGTTTTTTATCTGCCAATTATCAACCGCTAAACTACACTGAGCAGGCTCCTGCGATGACGACGTGGGTGAGCTCCCACAGGGCCTCGAGTCCCGGCCCTGACTCTGACTCGCTCCTCTTTCCCTGTGCTGATATCAGAAGCAATTCTCACTAAGTGGAACTGAACTCAACTCCACCTACAGAACCATTTGGCACAAAACATCACCTAAACACATTGTGATAAACAATGATTTCCATCCTCCTTCTAGGTCAAGAATATTAAAAATATTAAGACAAATTTCATGAAGGATAGATGTGCCTACAAGTCATCCTTCATTTGCAAACAGAAAATAAAGGCTTACTAAGTTCAGTAATAACAAACTAATAATAATTCAAGGCCAGGTGCAGTGGCTCACACCTGTAATCCCAGCACTTTGGGAGGCCAAGGCAGGCAGATTATCTGAGGTCAGGAAAATTTGAGACTAGCCTGGTCAACATGGTGAAATCCGTCTCTATAAAAATACAAAAATTTAGCCAGGCATGGTGGTGTGTGCCTGTAATCCCAGCTACTTGGGAGACTGAGGCGGGGAAATCACTTCAACTTGGGAGGTGAAAGTTACAGTGAGCCAAGATTGCATCACTGCACTCCAGCCTGGGAGACAGAGTGAGACTCCATCTCAAGAAAAAAAAAAAAGAAAAGAAAAGAAACAAAGCTGTAATACGTATTTTAAAATAATAATTCACACTAATAATTGAGGAGGCATTCAACAGATATTTACAGATCATCTACTGAATGCTGGTGTCACATGAGGTACTTTCAGCATAAAAAGAAGAAAATGTAGGCTTAGTTTAACGAAAAGACAGAGAAGATAATGGCACTGAAAACACCTGATGGCAGTTGCTAGTATACATAGGCTAAAGAGTAAAAAACTGGGCCAGGCTCTGTGGCTCACACCTGTAATCCCAGTACTTTGGGAGGCTGAGGCGGGCTGATCACGAGGTCAGGAGATCGAGACCATCCTGGCTAACACAGTGAAACCCCGTCTCTACTGAAAATACAAAAAAAATTAGCCGGGCATGGTGGCAGGTGCCTGTAGTCCCAGCGACTTGGGAGGCTGAGGCAAGAGAATGGCGTGAACCATTCTCTTGGGAGGCGGAGCTTGCAGTGAGCCAAGATAGCGCCACTGCACTCCAGCCTGGGCAACACAGTGAGACTCCGTGTCAAAAAAAAAAAGTAAAAAACTGAACAGAATAGAAACAATACGTAATGACCAAACCTTTCAAGAGAAAAGGTAAACTTTTAAAAAATGTGTTCAATCCAATAGAGGGTGAGGAAGAAGAAATAAAGAACCAAAGAAAATTCAGGATTAGTAGAAAGCAAAGAAATAAAAAATGTGGAAGAGGAAGCACAAAATGATACCAAATATATGAATAATCATAATCGCAAACAGACTAAACTCAACAAGGAAAAGAGAGATAATATTAGGCTGGATTTCATTATTATCATTATTGTTATTATTTCACTTTTATTTCAGGTTCAGGGGTACATGTGCAAGTTTGTTATTAGGTAAAGTTGTGGCACAGGGGTTTGTTGTACAGATTATGTCATCACCCAGATACTTAGCCTGGTACCAACAGCTATGTTTTCTGCTCCTCTCCCTCCTCCCATCCTCCACCCTCAAGTAGACCCCATTGTCTGTTGTTCCCTTCTTTGTGTTCATGAGTTCTCATCATTTAGCTCAAAATAGCACAGTATTGATGATAAAGCCACATACCTATGACCATCTGATATTCAACAACGCCGACAAAAACAAGCAATGGGGAAAGGGCTCCCTGTTCAATAAATGGTGCTGGGATAACTGGCTACACGTGCAGAAGGTTGAAACTGGACCCCTTCCTCACACCATATACAAAAATCAACTCAAGATGGATTACAGACTTAAATGTAAAACCCAAAACTATAAAAACCCTGGAAGACAACCTAGGCAATACCATCCTAGACACAGCAACTGGCAAGGATTTCATGACAAAGACACGAAAAGCAATTGCAACAAAAGCAAAAATTGACAAGTGGGATCTATTTAAACTTTAGAGCTTCTGCACAGCAAAATAAAGTATCAACAGAGTAAACAGACAACCTACAGAATGGGAGAAAATATGTGCAAACTATGCATCTAATAAAGATCTAATATCCAGCATCTATAAGGAACTTAGGCTGCATTTTAAGAAAAATTCCGAAAACTTAATTAAAAAAAAAAAAGTTGAAAGTGAAAGGTGGGGCTCAACCAGCACATGAGAACTCTAAGGAGGCAAGATGATATAAGCACTAGAAAAAACAAAAAACAAAAAAAAAAACAAAAAACAAAAAAAAAAACAGATAAAAGGTAAAGAAAGCCTCATTAGAAACAGTTTCTCCAAGAAAATGATAAAATAACTGCATATGAAAATATAAGAAGGATGAACTTAAATATCCCTAATAACATGCCCTTCAAATACACAAAGCAAAAGTCAACAGAATCACAAGAAGAAACTAGCTGGGCATGGTGGCATGGTGTAATCTCAACACTTTGGGAGGCCGAGGTGGGCAGATCACGAGGTCAAGAGATGGAGACCATCCTGGCCAATGTGGTGAAACTCTGTCTCTACTAAAAGTACAAAAATTAGCCGGGTGTGGTGGTGTGCGCCTGTAATCCCAGCTACTCAGGAGGCTGAGGCAGGAGAATCGCTTGAACCCAGGAGGCAGAGGTTGCAGTGAGCCAAGACCACGCCACTGTACTCCAGCCTGGTGACAGAGCAAGACTCCGTCTCAAAAAAAAAGAAGAAACTGACAAGATTACAACCATAATTATAGATTTTAACACATCTCTCAGTAATTAAAAAAATCAAGCAACAAGAAAATAGGAAGACCTGAACAATTTAAACACAATTAACAAGGGTGAGTCAATGAATATCTGGGCAAACGTACCAAATCGTCAGCAAAACCACATTTTTCTCACACACCTATGTAATATTAAAAACAAACCATAGAGTCCAGCTTCTCGATAGATTAAAAAATCTCAAAGATACCAAGAAAATCCATACTATATATGGAGAGTTCATGCTCTGAACACAATGCTGTAAAATTAGAAACCAATAACAAAAAGGATGACCAAAAATTAACTCGTGGAAATCTAAAAGCATCCATCAAAAGCTTGGGTTGGAAAACATCATAATAAACATGAAGAAAGTATTTAGTGCCAAGATAATAAAAATAGTGCATGCCCAAGCTGGTAAAGTGCAATGTCAGCATGAAAAATCAAGCAACAGGGAGACCACGTGTAAGAAGCTAGTACAGGCTAGCACTAGGCTTAACAATGCACAACATTGCTGAAGCAGCATCCTTGTCTGGGATCAATACCCAGGGTTTGTTGCCTAGCACCAAGATTAAAGACACAGACACAAACCAGCAGCAAGTTTAGGAGTAAAGGTTTCACAGGCCAAATAAAAAAAAGAGAGAGAGGTGTCCCAAAGGGAAAAGCCAGCCTGTGGTGGACTGTGCCAGATTTTACAGGCAGGCTTGAGGAGGCGGTGGCTGATATATGGAGGGCCCACAGATTGGTTCTATCAAGTGTGACTTTTACATGGTAGGCAGGGAAGGCTGGTTGTCCCACTCTAATCCTTTTTTTGAGACGGAGTTTCACTCTTGTTGTTCATGGCTGGAGCGCAATGGCATGATCTAAGCTCACTGCAACCTTCTCCTCCCCAGTTCAAGCAACTCTCCTGCCTCAGCCTCCCAAATAGCTGGGATTACAGGGGCATGCCACCACGCCAGGCTAATTTTTGTATTTTTGGTAAAAACCGGGTTTCACCATGTTGGCCAGGCTGGTCTCGAACTCCTGACGTCAGGTGATCCGCCCACCTCGGCGTCCCAAAGTGCTGGGATTACAGGCATGAGCCACTGAGCCCAGCCGCCCCACCCTAATCTTATTAGGCAAATGGACTTTCTGCTTGGCCAGCGCCATCTTGCCTGCTCCTTACTGTACACGTGGCTGGCAGAAAAGAGAAGATGGAGCCACCATTTTGAACATGTCTGTTCCCACGTAGCCTTTTCCTATTGGCACAACTGCCGGCATTCGCCTGTACAAGCTTCTAGCTTGTTTGTCTATGTCTGCAGCTCGGTTTTACAGCCTGTTCTCTGTTAGAAAAGAAAATGATTTGGGGCTGCTTTCATTAACAGGAAACCCTTAGGGAGGATTCCCGTAACCTCATTATCTGCCTAAGTAATTTCTTCTTAACTCCTGTATCATTGCTTGGAATGGGTACTAGGGAAAGACCCACACGAAATTCAGTAGTGGTTATCAGAGAAGAAGAAAAGGGAGGGATGTGGGTATCTCTGTATCAATAATCATTTCATGTCTTTTGAAAAAATACAGCAAGATCTAAAACTAATAAAGCAAAATAATGTAAGTGACTATTCCTGAAATCTAGAATCATGTGTAATAAAATTATTTCATTAAAAAAGCTGTTCAAACTTGAACACATTGTTTTTAAATTCAAATTAGCTGTCTAGTATTATGTATTTACATCACAAAATAGTACATGTTTTATTCAGAGGCAGGCAAAGAGTAAGTATCCTGTCAAGTTTTAAAAATATATAAAGTATC